CTCAAGATAATTCCCAACATACTCTAACCCAGGAGTAGATTTACAGTGGCTGTGTTCTGTTGGATATTATTTGCTGGGGCTTTGTGTTGTGTTGGAGTTTTAAAAAGGTCTCTGTTGTATCATGTTGGAATTTACTTATGGGTTGCTATTAACAGATGGGGCTTAGTTACAGGGGCTCTTTTATTGGGGTTTGTTCAGAGGGGCACTATGTTATGTAAGGGTTTATGTAAAGGAGTGCTGTGTTGTGTCAGTTTTTTTTCCTGGGTGTTCTGTATTGTGTTGATGTTAGCTTTTAGGGGACAAAATGTTTTGTTGGGGATTATGTACATGGGCTCTGATGTATCAGGGTGTGGGAGTATGGGTTTGTATCCTGATTTCTTTCCTCTCAGTTCTCCTACTTTTTAAAATCTTCCCTCCCTCTGTGGTGTTGCTGCTTTGTTATTTGTATTGACCTGACATTTGCCTGCCTGAGGGCGTGGTGTTTTTGGGATTCAGAAATCCAAGAACTTAGTAGCTGTGAAGAATTAAACTGAATTTATTTAAATGCAAGAGGTCTTGCAGGTAAGGCTGATGAACCCAGGCATGTTTGGGAGCATAGGATTGAAACATCATAGCTATTACGGAAACTTGGCTGAGGGATGGACAGGAGTGGCAGCTCCATTTTCTGGGTTTCAGATGTTAGAGGAACGATAGAAGGGTTGGCAAAAGAGTTGGGGAGTGGCATTTTTGATGAAGGAAAACATTACTGCTGTAACTAGAGAAGATATTTCTTAAAAAAAAAAATCATCCAGTGAAAATATATGATATTAGAAATAAGAAAGGAATGATCACCTTGATGGGATTGTGGGATAGGGCCCCCCAGTAATCTAAGGGAAATTGAGGAAAAAATATGGAGAGAGATCTCAGGTATATGAAAGAATAACAAAGTTTAACAGGTGATTTTAATTTTCCAAACATTGACTGTGACTATCATAGTTAAAGGTTTGGATGGTGAAGAAGTTAAGTGTGTTCAAGAAAATTTTCTTTATCGATATGTCAATGTTCCTACCAGAGAAGGAGCAAAACTTGACCTTCACTTGGGTAATAAGGTAGAACAAGTGACTGATTTGATAGAGGAGCACTGGGTCAAGTCATCATAATTCCATTAATTTCAAAATAGTTATGAAAAATTATAAGACTTCCATTAAAGTTAGTTTTTAATTGGAGTAAGGAAATATGATACAAGAACTTTGAAAAGTTGATTGGATCAGTTCTGAAAAAGGGTCACCAGACCCAAAACGTTAACTGTTTTTTCCTTCACAGCTGCTGCTAGACCTGCTGAGCTTTTCCAGCAACTTTGTTTATATTCTTGATTGGAGTAGACTGTTCACGTGTAAAGGGACGTCTGATAAGTGGGAGGCTTTCAAAAGTGTGATAATGAGAGTTCAGAGTCATTATGTTTCTGTTAGAATGGAAGGTAAGGCTGGTAAGAGGTTCTAGTTAAGAATAAAAAAAACATATTAGAGAGAGAAAACTGGGTTCAAATAAATCTCTTAAACAGTACAAAGATATAGAGGCATTCTTAAGAGGGAGATCAGGAAGGAAAGCGAGGATATTGGCAGATAAGGCTCAGGATATTCCGAAGAAATTCTACAGATGCATTAAGAGCAAAAGAGCAACCAGAGAGAGAGTTGAGTCCCTTAAAGATCAAAGAGATCATCTTTGTGTTGAATCTCAGGAGATGCGAGAGAAATTAAACGAATATTTCACACTAATTTTTACTGTGGAGAAAGAATTGGAGGCTACAGAACTCAGCGAAATAAATATTGATGTTTTGAAAACAGTTTACAGAAGAGGAAATCCCGGAGGTCTTGGAAAATATAAAAATGGATTAATCTTCAGGACTTGATCCAGCGTATGCTGGGATGTTGTGGGACATTAGGGATGAAATTGCGGGGGTCCTTGCAGAAATATGTGTGTCATCTATAATTATGGGTGAGGTGCCAGATGACTGGAGAGTGGCTAATGTTGTGCCTCTTGTTTAAGCAGGAATGTAAGAGGAACCTGACATCTAATGGTGGTGGGTAAGTTGTAGGAGGTGATTCTGAAAGGTAAGGTTTATGTGTGTGTGGAGAGGCAAGAGCCAATTAAGGATAGTCAGAATGGTTTTGTACAAGGGAAATCGTGTCACAATCTTGGTCAAGTTTTTTTTTGAGGAAGTAACCAAGAAGGTTGTTGAGGGCAGAGTGGAAGATGTTGTTTACTTGGACTTTAGTGAAGCCTTTGACAAGGTTCCAAATGGTAGTCTAATTAGTAAAGTTAGATCACATAGGATTCAGGGTGAGCTTGCCAGTTGGACACAAAATTGGCTTAACGGCAGGAGACAGAAAGAGATGATGGAGTATCGTTTTTCTGACTCGAGGCCTATTGCCAGCAGTGTTTGACAGGGATTGGTGTTGGGTCCACCTTTGTATGTCATTTATATGAATGATTTAGATGAGAATATAGAAGGCATGGTTAGTAGGTTTGTGGATGAAACCAAAATTGGAGGTATAGTGGACAGTGAAAAAGGATATCTAAGATTACAAAGAGATCTTGATTAGTTGGGTCAAATCACTGAGGAGTGGCAGATGGAGTTTAATTTAGTTAAAGCAAGATGTTGCGTTTTAGTAAAACAAAAAAGGGCAGAACTTATTTAATTAAAAGTAGTGTTGTAGAACAGAGAGAAATAGGGATTCATGTACATATTTCTTTGGAGTTTGCTTCACACGTAGACAGGATGGTTAAGAAAGCATTTAGCATGCTTGCCTTCATTGCTCAGACCTTTGAGTGTAGGAGTTGGGACATAATGTTGAGGCTGTACAGGACACTAGTGAGGCCTCTTCTGGGACTAGAAAGGTTTCAGAACAGATTTACCAGGATGTTGCCGGAGTTATGAGGAGAGGCTGGGACTTTTTTCACTGGAACATAGGAGGTTGAAGGGTGACCTTATAGCGGTTTATAAAATCATGAGGGGTAGAGATAAGAAGAATGACTGATATCTTTCCTCTAGGGTGGGGGATTTCAAGACTAGGGGAATATTTTCAAGGTGAGAGGGAAAAGATTTTAAAAAGTTGTGAGGGGCAACTTTACACCGAGAGTGGTTCATATGTGGAAAATGTGGTTCCTCTGAAGGAAGTGGTGGGTACGGATATGATTACAATGTTTAAAGGGCATATGCATAAATATGTGAATAAGGAACGTTTGGAGTATCATTTAACATCTCGAGCTGCAGTTTCAGATTCCTACTTTAACTGAAGCAGCCACAGTTTCTCCATGGGGGAAGGGTCAGTCTGATCCATATGTCAAGTAGCTGATGAAAGAGGCTGTACTTTGGTCCAGGCCTCTTACAAGGCTAAAGAAGGTTTTTGATCAACTCCAGCCCTCCCAACATTCTTGCCTCCGTGTCATTGCTTGTTTCGCTTCTTATTATCTGTCCCTCTACCTGAACTCCCCCTTCATTTGTCCTTCCTTGACTTTCACTCTCCCTGCTACCCCTGGTGCTTGGCCCTCCTCCCCTGTGACTCTCCCAACCTGATGTGTTCTTGTGTCATTATGTTGGCTGTTGTATCATAAACACTGAGACCTATCAGAAGGCTTCGTTAGAAAACAACTTTCTGTCTTCCCTTCGTCTACTGAACTTCCTTTGCATTTCTCCTCTTCGTTGACTGTCAAGAATCTCCATCTGAATTTACTTGTTTGAGTGACAGCTCAGTCTGACCTTCTCCAAGGCTGGGAGTTGAATGGATGCCTGTAGTTGAGTGACAATGCTGGTACTGGGATTGTGATGGTGTACCTTTATGTTGAGGTTTTAGTATGGGCTTGGTGATGGCTGTATTATTTCCTGCTGTTTTGGGTCTAGTGGAAACAATGTGTTTCTGCAGTTGTCAATCAAACTGAGTTTGATTTGCTGTGCCTTTGATTGTGACTGAATGATGGTCTCTCTGTGGGTGTGGAAATGAATAATTGGATGTGTTTTCAGTGATGTGTGGGTAAGGACTCTCTGTGGAGTTCATTTTGATTGGTTTGATGTGTTTGACGGAAGTCTATGTGAGGCATATCTGGCTGAGTGGGTATTTGCTAATTTGCTGTGGTGGCCACAGAGGCGGATGTGGGGTTCGTTGACTGGGTGCTTTTGATTGAGAACCAAATAAAGATGATGGTTCTGATTTACACTGGGTCTCTGGCCTGAAGTAGAGGGGAGGTGACGCAGTCTGATCTGCACTGTGCACATTTGATTGACAGGGATCCACATACTGCAGATGATGTTTGGCTTTGAGATATGGGATGACACAAACCACAACAGCACTAGAATGGTGTACCTGGAATGAAACATTACTTCTGTTTCAACAAGGAGCACGTATGGTGTAGTTAACGGCCTTAGCATGGGCACAAGTCATTAAAAAGGATTGTGACCAGTACAAAGTTTACAACAAATAGAGGAAGAAATACTTGAAGAGCCGGTACATTGAGTGCCTAAGGAAATACTTGAAGTCGGAAAAGCAGGAGCTGAGACCCAGTGAGTTGAGGGGCACTGAGAGTGCATGTTTGAGGGGGGATTACTGAGAGGTGGTGAATGAACTGGGAACTGAAAGTTGAGAACTGAGGGCCTGGGGGAAGCAGGTGAAGAGAGGATGGAGGACTAGGGATTGGGGTGGTTCGTGAAGAGGAGATCGAGGGCTAGAGGGGAGCAGGGAACAAAATTGGTATATGGTCAGAGGGCCAGGAGGTGAGGAGGGCACAAAGGTTTGGGGGAATGAGGAGGTGGGATATGTGGGTGACAGCTGGGGAGCAAAGGGGGAAAGAGTGTGAGTGCAACTTGGAAGTGATGAGTGATAATTCTGAGTCGGGGAGTGAGGGCAAAATGGGGTTTGGGTATTGAAGCATGAACTAAAGTCTCTCATTTAATTCTGTGGTTAAAGGGTATGTTAGATTCCTTATCATATACTGACTGAGCTCAGATCTATTTTATTCTCCCTCAGTTGCTCCACATGTGTTTACATCAGTGAATAAGAGATCAGACATTTAACTGACTCCACTCTCCTGCCTTGTCACTGGATTCTATCCTCCGGATGTCAAAGTTGTCTTCTGAGAAATGGTGAGCTGATGATGACTGGCATTCTGGTCAACCACAATGGCACAAACCAACTCAGGAAGTGGCCTGGCTTCGAGCTGCAGGACCGAGCCACCTATTCTTGTCAGTATGAACACAGCAGCAAAGGAACTGAGACCAGGCACTTGGGTAAGAGGAACTGCGGCTGTAAGGGCAGTTTCAGTAAGATGCTGAAATAAGACCATAAGCTGTAGAAGCAGAATTAGGTAATTCGTCCCATTGAGTCTGCTCCAATATTCAATCATATATGTTTCCCAGTGCCATTCTCCTGCCTTCTCTCCGTTACTGTTAATCGCTGTACTAATCAAAAACCTATATATCTTTGTCTTTGGCCTCCACAGATTAACCATCCTCTGGCTGAAGAAATTTTTCCATGTCTCAGTTGTAAAGGATTGTCCCTTTTCTCTGAGGCTGTGCCCTCGAGTCCTAGCTTGTCCTACGAGTGGAAATATCTTCTCCACATCCGTCTATCCAGGCCTGTCAGTAATAAGTAGGTTTCAATAACTCCTCCCCAACCCCAACTATCCTTCTCCATTAAGTACAAAGCCAGATTCCTCAACCATTAATATAACAAGCTTTCATTCCCCCTCCAATGCCAGCACGTCCTTCCTGAGACGCAGGGCCCAAAACTGCTCTCAGTATTCCAAACACGGTCTGATCAGGGTTTGTACAGCTTCAGCAGTACATCTCGAATCTTGTATTCTTGCCCTTTTGAAATGAATGCTAACTTTGCATTTGCTTTCCTAACTGCCAGCTGAATCTGCATGTTATTCTTAAGAGAATCCTGAACTAGGACTCCCAAGTCCCTTTGTATTTCAGATTTCTGAATGTTAGAAAATAGTCTATGCCTCTATTCTTCCTGCCAAAGTTCATAATTGCGCAATTTCCCATATTGTACTCCACTTGCCACTTCTTTGCCCACTGCCCTAGTCTGTGCAAGTCCATGTACAGCCTCCCTATTTCCTCAACATTACCTGCCACTCCACCTATCTTCATGTCTTGTAAATATAGCACCAATGTCCTCACTTCCCTTGTTCAGATTGTTAATGTATATATGCTATTAATTATTTCTCCTCATTTTGTCAATCATTACAATTTTTTTGGATTAAGCATTACCTGCCACAAGTCTGCCTTTTTCACTTGTCTGTGTCCTTTTCATCTGTGTTGGCGTGAACAGCAAGTAGAGCCAGATTGGTTGAAAACAAAATATTCTTTTCGATTCTGCTGGTCCATGGCAAAGGAATGCGGTCCATGTAGACTTTTTAAAATTTGATTTTATTGTTGTCACATATACCTTGGTACAGTGAGCAGTTTTGTTTTGCATGTAGTACAGGCAGATCATACCATATAAAGTGCATAAGGGTAAGAACAACGAGGAATATATTGTTATGGCTGCAGAGAAGGTGCACAAAGAGCGAAATCAACATTAAATTTTAAATTTAAAATTTGTGCGTCCACTTGGAAGTCTAATAACAGTGGGGAAGAAGCTGTTCTTGAATCTGTTGGTACATTTAAGCATTTGTATCTTCCGCCTGACGGAACAGGTTGAAAGAAATTATAACCAGAGCAGGAGGGATCTTTGATTATGTTGATTGCTTTTTCGAAGCAGTGAGAAGTACAGCTAGAGTCAGTGGATGGAAGGCTGGCTTGCGTGATGGACTGGGCTGTGTTGATAACTCTGTTGTAGTTTCTTACTTTTAGAAGCCTCTAGAAGCTTGACCAATTTGCTTTTCTGGAAGCTTTACATGTGGCAACTATCTTTGAACTCACCATTGTCCACTTTTAAAACAGGCATGCAAGTTTAAACAAAAATTATAATGTCCTATTTCTTCGCTGGCATGACAGCACACAACAAAGTGTGCAGTAGACTAATGCCAACTGCTGAGAAACAAAACTACATGCTTTCCTCCAATCTTAAAAAAAAAACCTTTCTATCTGCTTTCTATCACATAACGGTTTTTAAATGTTCATCTGTGAGATATGGGTGTCAGTTGCCAAACCCGCATTTATTGTCCGTTTTTAGTTGCCCTGAAGAAAACGGTGGTGGACGGCCTTCTTGATTGGCATAGGTAGACCCACAATATCTTTAGAGAGGGAGTTCCAGAATTTTGACCCAACAACATTGGAGGAATGGTGACATATTGCCAAGTCTGGAGCAACCGACTTAGAGAAAAGCTTGCAAGTGGTGGTGTTCCCATGTATCTGCTGACATTTTCCTTCTAGATGGAAATGGTCATGCATTTAGAAGATGCTTTTGAAGGAACCTTGTGGATTTCTGCAACACACCCTGCAAATGATGCACAGTGTTGGAGTTGCACTCATCCAGACATACTTCTGACTTGTACCTTGTAGATGGTGGACAGGATTTGGGAGTCAGCAGGTGAGTTACTTACTGCAGGATTCTGAGCCTCTGATTTATTCTTGTAGCCACTTCAGGTATGGTCAACAATAACTCACAGAATGTTGACAATGGGTTATTTAGTGATGCTAATGCCACTGAATATCAAGGGGCGATGTTTAGATTCTCTGTTGGAGACGGTCATTGGCTGACCCTTGAGTGGCACTTGTATTATTTGCCACTTGTCTACTTGTCAGTGCAAACCTGGTTATTGTCTTGCCTCATTTGAACATTCTTCATGATCTGAGGAGTGGCAAATGATACTGAATATTTGTAATGATCGGCAAACATTCCCAGTTCTGACCTTGTGGTGGGTGGGGGGGAAGGCCATTGATGAAGTAGCTAAAGTTGGTTTGGCAAAGGACACTGCCATAAGGATCTCCTGCAGAGATGTCCTGAAGCTGAGATGATTGACCTGCAACAACCACAAACATTTCCTTTGTACTATGTATGACTCCTAGAGGAGAAGCATTTTCCCCATACTAACATCGTGCCATGAACCCCATGGACATCAGTTTTGTTGGTAGTGTGTCAAGAGTCACTTTAATCAAGCACCTTTTTAAAATTCATATACTGTATAGTGATTCCATTATCTACTCCACTGTCAGATATCTACTATTCCCCAAGAGCAATTAGGAACAGTCCCTAAGCAGTAACCTCGCTAAGAACACCAACCCTTGTGCATGAATATAAAAAGTAACCACTCAAGATGTGCTTTGCCCTTAACCAGCTATCAACTTATTAACATATACTTTCACAAATAACAGCTTTTCTTGAGTATTAGAACATTTTCGAGACACAATTACAGGTAATGGATAACCTTCACCCCAGAACCCCTAGTTAGAATTAAAAAGTAAGAGAGGACATTTAAGTGTGAAAAGTTAGGTGTCGATTGGGAGGGCTGGCTAGTTGTGTGGCACTGGGATGGAAGTGGGAGAGTTGGCAAGATGAGCAACTCATTGGATGCAAGTAGGAAGGATTAGTAAATATCAAGGTACCAGCCAGTTACATCAAGATAGCTGATAGTTTTTTAATCTGAAGTCTGCAGGTCAGGAAAGTAGACCAAACTTATTTTGTGTTTTTTCAAGGCAAGTGATATTAGTTTGACACAATTTCATTAGCGTCCCACTTTTTAAATATGTAACGAACTAGATATGGACAGTCTAAAAGTCGGGAGCCATTTATCTAATATGATAATGGCCTTTCATTTTTGCAGAGGACAAGTGTAAATCAGTTATTGGAAATACAGGTTTGGCAAAATGAACCACAAACAAAATGAGAGAACTGACAACTGTAAAATGGTCAAAATTGTTACTAGGAGAAGCAGGGCAAGTACAATTGAGTATTGGGAGGCATTCAAATGTTGCTCTGTATAGGACCCATTAAAAACCTTTGGAGTCAAGCATTCTATCGACAAAAGGGCAGGGACATAAAATGAGAAACAAAGATCAGTTCAGATCAATTGGTCAGGGAAAAATACAAGAACAGCAAAGGACAAAACAGTAGCTGAACGGCAAAACAGAACGGATGTTACATTAATTGATGATAGAAACACTTATTGGCTGTCTGCTAGTTCAGGAATGGTGGCTAGTCTGGGTCACAAGTTTCCATGATGGTCTTTATACGACTGAAGAGGCCAATTTTTGACCCACACATCTTTAAGTACATGCAGCAATGTGTCCCATAAGGTAGTGGGATCTGGAGTGAAAGATTAGTTTCCTTTTCTTTCTTTCTGCGCTGCCTTTATGCCTCAACATTCAAGTGTTTAGACTCAAAGCATAGATCCAAGTAACAGAAGTATGCCATTTAGCCGTTCAAGCCTGCTGCGTCATTCAATATGCCCATAGCTGATCCTCTATTATCGTGCATATTCCCATTTTCTCTCTTGTACACCTTGATGCGTTTAATATCTAAAATTTATCCATTTCTTTTTTGAATATACTCAGAGACCCAGCTTTCTGTGGTAGTGAATGCCACAGGTGGACCACATTGTGAGTGGAGAAATGTTTCCTCATCTTGGTTCTAAATGGCCGACCCAATAACTTGTGACTGTGACCCCAGGTTCTAGGCTCTACAATAAGGGAAATCATCCTCTTTGCTGCTAGTCTGTCTAGCTTTTTAGAATTTGGTATGTTTCAATCAAATTCCCGCTCATTTTTCTAAAATCGAGTGAATACATAGCCAGTTAAACCAATCTCTCCTCAACGGTCCTACCATCCTTGGTATCAGCCTATTGAACCCTTGTTGCACTCTGGCTGTGGCAAATATATCCTCTGTTGGGCAGTGGAGACTAAAACCGTATACAATACTCCGGGTACAGTCTCACCATATACCTGTATAACTGCAGAATCAAGCATGATGCTTGATGGGCAATTTATCATCATTTTGAACAACTGGTAGCAAACTCTAAAGTAAAGATGCTTGATATCTGAACCAAAAGCAGAAATTGCTGAAGAAACTTAGCAGGTCTGGCTACATTTGTGGGGGAAAAAAAGTAAAGTTAATGTTTTAAGTCTGGTGACTCTTCATCACCCTTCCACAGATGGGGATTTCCAACTCCAGAAGAAACAAATCTCAGTTTAATTGTTGGAATTGTTGCTGCTGCCATTGCTCTGATTGCTGTCATCATTGGTGTCATTGATTGGAAGAAGAGAGGTAAGAAACGTGTATAGGTCTGTTATGCAAAGATATGTAGCTTCAAATGCCATGACACATGGAACAGACTTCCCCCGGATATGTGAGAAACTCTCATTTATAGCAGTGATTATGAAGCAAATGAAATTAGCTGGCCTACAATCTTGTCTGAGGAATTCCTGAAACAACTGTACACTGAGATGACTGGCCTCTAACAAACTTTCTTGCAATGATTGCAGCTGCGAATGTGTTTCTACTCTTGAAACGCATTTACTTTATTTTACTATGGTGGGTGAATGCCTCTCTATTTGCTCAACCCATTCCTATTCATCAAACTATCCCAAACCCCTACCAAAAATCTGTATTTCCCTGTCTTGCCAGGACTCCCTTGGTTCCTTGTTGCTATTACAATGGCCTATCAACACTATTCAGATCCTTGCACTAATGCTCAAATCCTGGCAGATCCAGAAGCACAGCCTCTTCTATTAGTGACCCCACAGTTTGCACAGGGACCTAAGCAGGCTGGGCATCCATGAGGCACTGTGGCCCATCAAAAGCTGCAGAATTGTACTCCAGCACAATCTGTAGCCTCCTGGCCTGGCATATCGCCCACTCAACCGTTACTATCAAGTCAGGAGATCAACCCTGGTTCAATGGAGAGTGCAGGAAGGCATACCAGGAGCATACCTGAAGATGAGGTATCAACCTGGTGATTCTACCAAACAGGACTACTTGCACGCCAAACAGCAAAAGTAGTAAGTGTTAGAGCTAAGCAATCCCATAACCAATGGATCAGATCTAAGCTCTGCAGTCCTGCCAAATCCAGTTGTGAATGGTGGTGGACAATTAAACAAATCACTGGAGGAGGAGGCTCCACAAGTATCCACATCCAATTCCAATAATGGAAGAGCACAGCGCATCAGTGCAAAAGATAATGCTGAAGCATTCGCAGCAATCTTCAGCCAGAAGTGCCAAGTGGATGATCCATCTTGGCCTCCTCCAGTGCTCCCCAGCATTACAGATACCAATCTTCTACAAATCCAACCCAGCCAATTACCATCCCATCAGTCTACTCTTGATCAACAGTAAAGTGATGGAACGTGTCATCAACAGGGCTATCAAGCAGCATCTGTTCAGTGACGCCCAGCTTGAGTTCCGCCAGGGCCACTCGGCTCCTGATCTCGTTACAGCCTTGGTTCAAACATGGTCAAAAGAGCTGAATTCTAGGGTGAGGTGAGACTGGCAGCCCTTGACACCAAGGCTGCATTCGACCGAGTGTGGCATCAAGGAGCCCTAACTAAACTGGAATCAGTGGGTATCAGGGAGCAAACGCTCCAGTGGTTGGAGTTGTACCCGACACATAGGAAGATGGTTGTAGTTGTTGGAGGTCAACCATCTGAGCTCCAGGAATCTTTGCAGGAATTCCTCAGGGTGGTGTCCTCAGCTCAACCATCTTCAACTACTGATCAATGACTTTCCCTCCAACATCAGATTAGAAGTGGGAACGTTTGCCAAGGATTGCACAATGTTCAGTGCTATTTGTGACTCCTCAGAAACTAAAACAGTCTGTGTTGAAATGCAACAAGATCTGGACAATATTATGCATTGGGTTGACATGTGGCAAGTGACATTTGAGCCACACAAATACCAGCTGTAACTATCACCAATAAGAGGCAATCTAACCACCACCTCCACTACTTGACATTCAGTGGTGTTACCATTACTGAATTCTCCACTCTCAACATCCTGGGGGTTATCATTGACCAGAAATTCCACTAGATTCACTAGAAACGCAGTAGCTACAAGACCAGGTCAGAAGTTAGGAATACTGTGGCACATAGTTCATCTCCTGACTCCTCAAAGCCTGTCCACCATGTACAAGGCACAAGTCAGGAGTGTGATGGAATGCTCCCCACTTGCCTGGATGAGCGCAGCCCCAAAAACACTCAAGAAGCTTGACACCATCCAGGACAAAGCAGCCTGCTTGATTGGCACTACATCCACTTCCTCCACCATCGACACTTAGTAGCAGCAGTGTGTGCTAAGTACAAGATGCACTGCAGAAATTCACCAAAGATCCTCAGACAGCACCTTCTAAACCCACAACCACTTCCATCTCGAAGTATAAGGGCAGCAGACATATGGGAACACCACCACCTTCAAATTCCCCTCCAAGCCACTCACCATCCTGACTTGGAAATATATCACTGTTCCTTCACTGTCACTGGGTCAAAATCCTGGAATTCCCCTAATGGTGTTGTGGGTCAACCCACAGCAGGTGGACTGCAGTGGTTCAAGAAGGAAGCTCACCACCACTTTCTCAAGGGCAACTAGGGATGGGCAAGAAATGCTGGCCAGCAAGCAATGCCTACATCCCACAAAATGAATAGAAAAAAAACCTTATCTAATGTCATATTTTTGACTTTGTTTTTTTTTAACATTTTGAAATGAATAAAGTGTACAACATAACCACAAAATGGGGAAATTTTGTTTTCAACTCTGGGATGGCTGCATATTTTGTTGTCTGCCCTACTGCAAAAGGTTCATAAAAGAACATCAGTGTTTACAGTAGCTGGACACTGTAGACTGAAACACAAAGTAAAGCAGAATAGGAGTTTATAAACCTCATGTTCTGATTAAATATTAAATATGATGTGTTACATACTGCAGTTCTATATGTAAAGGAAACATTTTGAAGCAGTACAAAACAAGATTTCAAACTGCAATCACTTCATCGTACAGAATTTCAACATTGCTGAATAGACATGTTGCTGACAAGACGAACAATTGGTAATATGTTTCTCCTCTTCAGTATTCAATCCTCACATTGACACCAGCAGTATCACTTGGAACTGGACATTGCAGTTCTGGAGTGGTATGGGAGAAAGGTTCAGCAGCTTCAGCGTAAGTCTTTGAGTTTGCTCCTTGATTACATGATGGAGAAATTGTCTTCAGTGTAGTGGATGAGTTTGTATAGGACCAGTAGCAGGATAACAGGCACTTTGACATTTTCATGTTTAAATTCAGTGCCAGTTACCAGTCATGCCACCAACTACACAAGGGAAAAGCATGGCCTTGCATCAAAGAATTTAGCAGTGGTATCCTCATGTTTGTATAAATTCTCCCTTGTGGTTGTTCGACTATACTCTACTCTTAATCAGTGTTTTCCCTCCATTAAAAGTGTGCCTGTTTCTGTGAAATATTCCTGGAAATTGGAGAGTAGAGATTCCTTTTATTGCATTTTGAGGAATTCAGATTGCTACATCTTATCACAATTGTTTCTCAGCAGCAGTCATGAGTCTGACAATAATTTAATTAAACAACAATGTCTTTAATGGTAAAACTCTTTCTTATACAAAACTGTTGCAATGAATGTGAAGGCTTGGAAGTTGTATGTGTCTGGTGACCTCAGAAGCAAGTTGACCACAAGTAATTAGAATGCTTTAGAATACCTCTCATCTTGAAGCTTTGTTTGGTTACTTTATACTTGATATTTTGTTGTTCTTTAATATTGGTCTATATTTATTCATTTATCATTACCTCTCTGTCTGTTTCAAGATTTTCTAATTATGCAGACCATTAATTTTAAGTATTAAATGACCCAACAAATTCTTAAGTGCTTACTGCCTCAAGCTTAAATACCCAATCTATGCTCCATGTAGTAACCGCTAAAAGGAACTGTCTTCCACCTCTACCCCAAAATCCCCTACACTTAAAATTTTAACAATCCCATTCAGTTCCGTTACAATCTGTGATCCAGCAGAAATCTTATCTTTATATTCCACTAAATCACGCAAACTAACAATTATTCAGCCAGCTTCCAACTCTCAGCACTTTTCCCATATTGGATAATCACTTACAACACACAGATTGTCAACTATTGCAATAACAACTGAAAGAACTGTGGTTGCTGTAAATCAGAAATGGCTGAAAAAGCTCAGCAGGTCTGGCAATGTCTGTGGAGAAAAATCAGAGTTAATGTTTTCAGTCTCGTGATCCTTCCTCAGAACTATTAACAGATTGTTAACTATTTCTTGATTTATACTGTTCACACTTTTAACCAGACTTGTACTAATGGTTAATAAAATTGACACCGTTCACTTAAACTTACTATGGTGACGGTCATTGTCAACCTGTAACCTATTTTACACTTTCAATTCTTACCTAATTTTTACTGTTAACCCTTAGGCTTGTTAGCTTGATTTTATACTGTTCACAGTTAAGTGTTAACCTGATTTAAATTGCTCACTATTATCTATTGACTTGCATCGTACACCATGAACTCTGAACCTTTTTTTTAGTTGTTCAATGTTAGCTGTTCACTTGATTTATACTGTTCACCTGAAACTGCATTACATTTCAACCTGATGTACACTGTTAACTGTTAACCTGAGTTACACTGTTTACTCAGAACCTGCCTTAGAGTGGTAACCTGAATTACATTGTTCAACTATTAAGCTGTTTTACAGTCTTCACAAATGTTAACTCATTATGAACTCGGATGGTGAAGTAAGAAGCATTTTATTTTCTCTAACTGGTAGATTTCGTTACCAAATGTAACCGCATAAGAGTCTGAACACTCTTTGAAAATATTCTCCTGATATGTGCTTATGATGATACTTAATGCACATCTGTACAAGCCATAACCACTATAATATTACAATTCAGATACCATTAACAGATGCCCCACTTTTTTCTTTAAATCAAAAATTGATAATATCCAAGCAATATTTAAAAACAAATTGTGAAGAAGAAAAATATAACTTTCCATATTTCTGAATGCCTTTTCGTGGAACTTCCATTGGCCAATATTTTGCAAGCATTTCTTTCTTTTCTTGTAAAGCAATCCAACTCTAGATGACTTGTGTGGAACTATTTTATTCTGGTGCTTTCCCTCACAAGCAAGATCACTCCCAGAGCTTTTTATTTTTTTTTCCTTCAGTGCATCTCATTCCATGGGATTGATTTTTATATATTTATTAAAAAAGAATAATTTAACTATTCTCATAGTGCCTCTTTAATCAAATGTCCTCTAAAATATTTGAAAAAAATAAAAGCCTATGTGTTAAGATCATAAGCTATAGGAGCAGAATTAAGCTATTCAGCCCATTGAACCTTCTCCACCATTCAGTTGTTGCTCATATGTTTCTCAAGACCATTCTCCCACTTTGTTCCTGTAACCATTGATTCCCTGACTAATTCAGAAGCTATCTTTCTGTATCATAAGTACACTCAATGACATGGCCTTCACAGTTTTCTGTGGCAATGAGTTGAACAGTCACTATACTCTAGCTGAAGAAATTCCACTTCATCTCTGTTCTAAAGGGTTGTTCCTTCATCCTAAGGCTGTACCCCATGTCCTAGTCTTCACTACTAGTGGGAACATCTTCTCCACCTCCACTGTCTCCATAAAATCAAATCCGAAAAAAAACTGTGGATGCTGTAAACCGGGAACAAAAACAAAAGTTGCAGGAAAATGTCAGCAGGTCTGGCAGCATCTGTGAAGCAAGAAAACCTCAGTTCCTTGGTCCAAATCATTAATATGTATGTGAATACATGTGGTGCCAACATTGACCTGTGTGGAGCTCTGCTAGTCACCAGCTGGCACTCTGAAAAGACCTCTTTATCCCTACCCTGCTTTCTGCCAGTCACTTAATCCTGTATCTGTGCTAGCTCCTTGCCACTAACACATGGGCTCTTATTTCACAGCCTCCAATGCGCCACCTTGCCAAAGGCCTTCTGTGATTCCAAATAGTTCACATCCACTAGCTTTCCTTTGTTTAACTTGCTCATTACCTTCTCAACGATTTATGACAGATTTGTCCGGATAACCTCCCCTTGAAAAAGCTGTACGGACTCCGTCCTATTTTGTAATGTAATCCCAAGTACTCCACAATCTCATCCTTAGTAATAGGCTCTAACATCTTACCAGCAACTGAGATCAGGCTAACTGGCCTATAATTTCTTGTCTTCTGCCTCCCTCCTTTCTCAAACATTATACATTAGCCATTTTAAAGTCCTCTGGGATCCTCCCTGATTCCAGTGATTCCTGAATGATCACTACCTGCCATCTCCTTGGGTACTTCCATCAGAATTCTGGTGTGTAGTCAATTTGCTCCTTAAGATTTGTCCATCTTCAGACTTTTCAGCTTCTCCTGTGCCTTCTCCGTGGTTACCACACTCACTTCTGCCCCGACACTCTTGAAGATCTGGTATGTTGCTGGCATCTTCTACCGTGAAAACTGATGCAAAGTATCTGTTCAGTTCCTCTGCCATTTCTTTGTTCCACATTACAACTCTTCCAGCCTCATTTTACAGCAGTCCAATGTCCACTTTTACCTCTTCTCACAACTCTTGGTAGAAATCTAAAAATCTAAAATTGTTTTAACCGCCTTTTCAAAAACTTTTCTTGGTTTCCGTAGCTTCTTAGCTTATGGAGCAGAATTTTCCATTTTCACCCAAAATAAATGAGAAAAGTAACTGCACCTGCACCCTGTCTGGAGGGTTGACATCACAAGCATCACAAAAGAAAAGTATTTTGGATCACCCAAGGCTGAATATTGCATGCATATTTCTATGGATTCATCATTTAATTTTCTTAAAAATTAACTGTGGGCAATTATCATGTCTTTCACTTAACACTTAGGCCCAGTGGAACAAAATGGGCGGCTGGTCTTATCTTTTGTATGCCCAATTCAACTACCCAAGTTCCTTGATTGATCTGTTTCTTCTTTAGATATATAACAGAACTGTATTAGTGAAGGAGGTTGTTTGACCCATTCTATCCACATCTACTCACTGAATGATCAGTTCACTTGGTGCCAATCTCCTGCCTTCACCCAATATATTTGCATTTTTCCCTTTTCTGATGCCAGTCTAATTCCCTATTGAATGTTTCAATTCAACCTGCCTTTGTTGCACGCTGACGTATTCCAGACATTGACCACACTGCATTAAAAACTTTGATTTTTGTATCACACTTGCTTCTTTCACCAATTAGTTTCTCGTTGTGCAATTTTTAATCCTTCCACTAACGAGAACAGTTTCACTTTTATTACTTGATCCAGACCCCGCAAAACCTTGGCTACCACAACCAAATCTCCTGTACCCTTGTATTGTCCAATGAGAATAGTCCTTGTTTTCTCAATTATGGAGATAACAGATGTTACTCATCCCCAGAACAAGTCTAGCCTCCCTAAAGTCATCACATGCTTCCTAAAGCATGGTGCCCAGAAATGTATGGAAGCTGAAGCAGTGTCTTATACAGATTTAACAACTGGCTTGCTTTTGCACTATTTATAAAGGACAGGCCAATATAACGTTCATCAGCCACTTGTTTGTATGTCCTGCCACGACTTGCAATTTATGCACTTGTACAGTTTAGAAGTGGTGCCATTTATTTATGTTGTTGCTCTGAGTTCATCCTACCACTTCATACTTTTTCTGCATTAAATTTAATCTGCCATTTGTCTGCATATTCCACCAACCTGTCCTATATGCTTTTAAGTTGTAAATTATCTTTTATGCAGTTCAGAGCTTATAAGTCTCGTGTCATGCAAATTCTAAATTTGGCTGTTTATATCAATACCTTTCTCTGTGGTCTCCAAACTACAGATTGCAATGAACTGGTCAATTGAAGAATCTGTGAGAAGCTGATCAGTCTCAGTTCCTGTAACACTGTCTGTAAGCTCTGTGAGCACATCAATCATCATACTGCCACATGATTTCTGCTTCCAGACATCGATGCCATGCATAGAGCTTGAGGGTTCTCGTAGGACACAGGAATGCTGCTATGAACCATATGCAATATCTGAGCACTGGAATGAAGTCACTACCACATTAATGACTTGAAGTTTCTACATTTAAGGCAGACAGCAAAATAACACATTATAAAGTTGTAGAATCAGAGGCCTATCTGAAACCTAACCAGGGGCCAGGTGATATCATAATCAAAAAGGTGAGGTGAGTGTGGGGAAATCAGCAAGTGCAGAATTTATATTTGCCTTCAACCAATTTTGTATCATGGATTTAAAAAATATCCAGTCCACTTTTTTTTAATCATACATAGTGCACATCTGTAACCCGATGTGTTCTAAGTTGTAGATTAGTACCCCATACTAACTTCGTGTTCATTTTAGCGAAAAGAAAATCCCTGACTCATGATAGCGAGTTGCAACCCCAGACCATCTAAAAATCAACTGAAATGAGCAAATTCCACACGGATTAGGAAATCAAATTTCTGTTCACAACTGTAAAAGGTAAAAACATCTACCTTATCTGTCATTAAAGTCCATAAGTAATTAGAAAAAAAAAGAAATTTGGAAAGACATCACAAAATGGTATAATAAATTCAGCGATAAATTTCCCTTGAGCAGCATGCTTCAGACAAAAGAAAAGATAATGAGCTGAAGGCTATTTTAAAACACAACAGTCATTTTCTTTTCTAGCCAAGGACCAAACGGTACGGTATGCACTGGATTATTAATTCACATTTGCCAACTTAAGGCGAAACAAAGTAAATAATTCAGAGATGATAGAGTAATTAAAACTGTAATAACTGTGGCCGCTAAGTTAAATACTTTTAAAAACAAAGAAGAAATAAGGAATTGTGTTTTCATTTCAGAGAGTCCGACGTGGTTGGCTCTGGAGAAGACTTTTCTTCGAGGAATTTATTGAAGAGGAATCGTTTTTATTCAGTTAATCAGCTAAGCGGTTGATTTTATTTAAGTTTTGTATGTTTGATGTATACAATTTTAGTATTTTCCATTTTACATTATTTTCTGTAGGTAATGAAAGATGGTTTATTATATATATAAGGTGTTATTGAAACGTCCTTTTTTTAGGCTTAATGTTATTAAGATCATATATGCGGTATAGAGTGAGATAGCTTGTAGAAGATAGCTTGGAAAAGTTATGACCCAGCAAGATTGATCGGATAGATGGGTGACTGTTAGGATAGGTAAGAATATCTCCAATGGCTATTCCTCTACCAAATAGATATTCAGCTTTTGGAACTGTTGAAGGGCATAGTCTCTCTGGGGAAAATGGAAGGGCTAGTCACTTTTTGGACACTTGGAATGATTCTTACGTTAGGCAGCATTTGAGAAGACTTAGTAGAATGATTGTTATAGGGGCCTCTCCTGTCAAAGGCTTAGACAGGAGATTCTGTGGCAGTGAGTGTAAATTTAGGATGGTTTGTTAATTGCCTGGTGCTAGGATTAAGGACGTCTCTAAACGTTTCAAGCATATTGTTAAAGGTGAGATTGAGAAGCCAGAAATTATTGTACACGTTGGTAGGAGTGACATTTTTAGGGAAAAGATCAAAGCAGTACAAAGTGAATTTAACAGGTTAGGCAAAAGATTTTAAAAAAAAAAACCTTAAAAGTAGTAATTTCTGGTTTACTCCCAATGCCAAACGAGGTAGGGAGAAAAAGTTTAGAGGAGACAAATCAATGGCGAAGAGCTTGTGTATTGTTCAGGGATTCAGGTTTTTGGACAATTGGAATGTCTTTTGCGTTAGAAAAGACATGTTCCAAAAGAATGGGTCTAAGTTAAACTGGAAAGGGACCAATATCTTAGCAAGGAGATTAGCTCATTCCATTAAGGGAGACTTTATACTGACAGAGAGGGGGAGTGGGGGAATTCTAAGTAACAGTGTAAACAGAAGGATTGATGAGGAAGGTTCTGAATGTGAGGCGAGCACATCAATTACAAAAGAAAGACGAGAGAGTCAGAGTATGTAGTAATTCTGAAGAACTAAATTGCATTTTTTTTCAATGCAAGGAGCCTTGCAGGCAAAGCTGATGAACTCGGGGCATGTTTAAGAACATGGGATTGGGACACCATAGCTATTATAGAAACTTGGCTGCGAGATGGACAAAACTGGCAATTCCATGTTCTGGGTTTTAGGTGCTAAAGGAACAATAGAAAAGGAGGCAAGAAGTGTGTGTGTGGGGTTGTGTTTTTCATTAAGTAATACATTATTGCTTTAACTAGGGAAGATATTTCTGAAAAATTGTCCACTGAAAATAAGAAAGGAAAGATCACTTTGATGGGATTGTACTGTAGGCGCTCCAATAGTAAGAGAGAAATTGAGAAGCAAATATGTATGGAGATCTCAGATATATATAAGTATAATAAGGTTGTAATAATGACGGATTTTAATTTTCCAAATATTGACTGGGATTGCCATAGTGTTGAAGGTTTGGATCATGACAAGTTTGTCAAATGTGTTCAAAAAAAGTTTTCTTTGTCAATATGTGGATGCTCTTACAAGAGAAGGAGCAAAACTAGAGCTTCTTTTGGGCAATAAGGCAGGGAAAGTGACTAAAGTAAATGTGGTGGAACACTTTGGGTCTAGTGATCATAATTCTATTAGTTTCAAAATGGTTATGGAAAAGGATAAGCCTTCCATAAAAGTTAGAGTTTTTAATTGGAGTAAGGCAAATATCAGTGGTATGAGACAAAAGTTGATTGGAGTAGACTGTTCGCAGGCAAAAGGAAGTTTGACAAGTGGGAGACGTTCAAGAGTGTGATGACAAGAGTTCCTGTTGAGTGCAAGGTAAGGCTGGTAAGATTAAGGAACAATGGATGAATAAGAATATTGAGGTTCTAGTCAAGAATAAAAGAGAATCTTATTTCTGATATAGACTACTTGATTCAATTGAATCTCTTAATCAATATAGTGTATGGGCATTGTTAAGAGACAAATCAGGAAGACAAAGAGGGGCTATGAGATAACATTGCCAGATGAGGTTAAGGATTAATCTACAGAGATTCTACAAATACTTTAAGAACAAGAGGGTAACCAGAGAGAGGGCAGGGCCTCTTAAAGATCAAAGACGTCATCTTTGTGTTGAACCCCTGGAGATGGGAGAGATATTAAATGTATATTTTGTGCCAGCTTTTACTGTGGAGAAAGAAATGGCACCTAGAGAATGCGGAGAAAGAAATGGTACCTAGAGAATGCAGAGAAATAAACATTGACGTTTTCCACAACCTTCATGAAAAAAGAGGAATTTTGGGAGCTCATAGAGAATATAAGGGTAGATAAATCTCTGGGCCCTGAATGTGTGGGAAGTAAGGGAGGAAATTACTAGACCCTTTGCAAAAATATTTGCATCATCTGTAACTACAGGTGAAGTGCCTGATGACTAGAGGGTGATTCATGTTGTACCTTTGTTTAAGAAAAGTTAAATGGAGAAACTGGGGAACTATAGACCTGTGAGTCTGACTTAAGTTGTGGGTAAATTGTTGAAGGTGAATATAAAAGATAGGATTTATGGACATTTAGAGAGGCAAAAATTGATTGGGGTAGTCAGCGTGGTTTTTTTTTTGTGAGGAAAATCGTGTCTCTCAAACTTGATTGAATTTTTTGAGGAAGTTACCAAAAAGGTTGATGATGGCAGAGCAATAGACAAGGTTCTGCGTGGTAGGCTAATTAGTAAAGTTAGGATTCAGGGTGAGCTTGTCAATTGGATATGTAATTGGCCTAACGGCAGGAGTGAGAGTAATGGTGGAGGGTTGCTTTTCGGACTGGAGGCCTGTGACCAACAGTATTCCACTGGGATTGGTTCTGGATCCTCTTTTGTCATTTTATATAAATGATTTGGATGAGAATATAGGAAGGTATGGTTAGTAAGTTTGCAGATGACACCAAAATTAGTAGCACAGTTGACAGTGAAGAACGTTATCTAAGATTACAAAGGGATCTTGATTAAATGGGCTCAAAAATGGAGGAATGAGTTCAATCTGAATGAATATGAGGTGTTGAATTTTGGTGTAACAAACAAGGGCAGGACTTATATAATTAATGGTAGGGCCTTGGATAGTGTTTTAGAACAGAGGGATCTAGGGGTGCAGGTACATAATTTTTTCTTCAAAGTTTGCATCAAATATACACACAGGGTGTTTAAAAAGGCTTTTGGCATGCTTGCTTTCATTGCTCAGTCCTTTGAGTATAAAAGTTGGGACGTTATGTTGAGGTTATACAGGAAATTGGTGAGGCCTTTTCTGGAATACTGTGTCCCGTTCTGATTGCCCAGTTATAGGAAGAATATTATCAAACTGTACATGGTTCAGAAGAGACTTACCAGGATGTTGCCTGGCATGGAAGGCTCGAGTTATAAAGATAGGCTGGAACTTTTTTCACTGGAGTGTAGGAGGTTGAAAGGCAACCTGATAGAAGTTTATAAAATAATGAGGGCTATAGATAGAGTTGATGGTAGTTGTCTTTAGATGGGGAATTTCAAAACTAGGGGACACACTTAAGGTGAGAGGAAAGAGATTTTAAAAAAAAAAACAAGGCAATTTTTTACACAAAAGATGGTTTGTGTGTGGAATGAACTTTCTTAAGTAAGTGGTGAATGCAAGTATAATTACAACATTTAAAAGGCATTTGGATAGATACATGAGTGGGAAAGCTTTGGAGGGGTATGGGTCAGGAGCAGGCAGGTGGGACTAGTTTAGTTTGCGATTATGTTCAGCATGGACTGGTTGGACTGAAGAGTCTGTTTCCATGCTGTATGACTCTGACTTTAAGAAATAACAATACCAATCCAGACCATGTCGCTTGGTGCTTCTGTCACAGCAAGATGAGTGAAGTATTTGAAGACATTTTTCAGCATCAGCAGAAGAGCCTAATGCACGTTGCAAATCCCAGTGACTAAACTCTGTAATTCTGGAAAGTGGTTGCTGCTTAAGCCTGCATTGCCACTCCAATTGGACAATTCACCATGCAAAAATCTCCTAAAGGCTGTGCTGGAGAAACAGGAGAAAAGGTTCACTTTAAATGATGAAGGACATGCAACCAAAATAATGACTCTCCTGTAAACTACAGCTCAGTTGGCCTTAACGCTAACTGTATCAGGTCCAGATGCTAGGATGCTCAGCATGGGGACCAAAAAGCTGTCCTACTGCCAATGCCCCCACATAACAGCAATCCCTCTTCCCACCTTATGTATCAAGTTGTATCAATATGTGTAAAATCAGATATGATCTTTATAGGATATATCTATCATTAATATTGTGATGCATCTATAAAATGGATTGTGCATGTATCAGTGTTCTATGTATCTCTTTGTTGCTTATCAACATAAAGTGTGCTTGTGTGTCTGTGTTGTATATAAAATGTCATTGAGAAATAAATAGGAAAAGCATTTTTCTTCCTGAATGATGTCAGATTTAGACAGGTGAACAACAAATAGAAACCCATTTAAAGAGATATTTATCAAGCTAAGTCATAAGGTGAATGTACAAGCATCAGAAAAATAATTAAACTAGAAAAAAATTTAAAGAATTGCCTGAATTTTATTGATGCATTAATTCAATTGCCCCTGGTGGCTTGATGGCTGGGATTTGGTGCTTTCACCTCCATGTCCCACATTTGATTCCTGGTCAGGGAATGCTATTTTACTATAAAGGTTTACCTTGACCTATTAACTGCTTCTAATAATGAAGGTTCGGTGTCGCCATCACAATTGATAGATATGATTTGTTGCACACCGAGGAAAATATTTCTAAAATGACCATGGACCTATCGCAAGGCAGGTGAAGTTCGTATCTAACTGTTACACCATGAAAACTTGGACCCGTCTGACTTCGTGTCAGACAAGAAGAAGCTGAAGAACAGTTGCTCATCTGAACAAATATTTCACCGTTCAGACCATACAAGTCACAAAACAATATCCATTGGCAGTCACTCAACTACTGAAGGAACTTGCAAATGCTGGTTCCTGGATCTTTGGAATCAGGCCATTCTCCCTCAGATGAAATTGGTTGTAAATACTGACTTAGGAGAAACACCATTTCAGTTCCATGAATGTGGTGAGTTTTCTTTGGGCCATGAATTTCCACTTGTCACTGACACAAATGCTCAAAATGTGACATTCATGGACAAATTCGACACCTTTCTCCTGTGATAAGTTAGTGATACACAGGCACAGACACTACTGGAAAGGGTTACTCGGAGATTCTGATTTTGCATTTTTCAATTAGGGTAATTACAAGAAGGGTAAGTTAATTATTAAATGAGGGTGAAATATAACTTGTATGGCTCAGCATCAGGATTGTTAACTTTCTCAAACATCACTCACATTAGCAACAGAAATAACCCATAGGAGATTGGAGGTTTCAAACATACATTGAGCCAATTTCCAGTTCCAATTAATTACTTTGGAGCCAATATCTCAATAGGTTTAATGACCCTTTTGGTGATGTTTGTGTGTTTTTTATTAAATTTTACTCAACTGATATTTACAAAATGCCTGCTTTGTACCTTTCAGAATAGCTGCAGACCTGGGAAAGTTTGTGGTTCTTTTTCTTCCAGTCAAAGTGCACAACACAAAACTGTGCATTAATAAACTTAAACAGGGAAAACTGGGAGTGATTTCACCACAAGGTGAGATTCAAACATTTGCATAAATTGCTTGTGCCATAAGACTTCTGCTTTTAAGTTCACCAAAAACAACATGAAATGCTTATAGTGTATACAGTACATGGAAACTTTCTAATTCTGCTCTTGATAGACATGTCCATTTCCCCATGGACAACCACTGTTGTCTCTATCTTCTGTTGCTTTATCTGCTATGAATATGTGTTATGTCCTGAAGTCAACACTCAGGTTTGCTACAGTAGTTAGAAATACTCAGATCAGTTTGTTTCACTTTACTGGACAACTTCAGAATCCATATTCCAATGTGTTACCCAATGCAAAGATGTTTTGACATTCTCCATGACCTGTGACAGAATTCTGACCCTAAGGTTTGGACCCTCACCCTTATCCTGTTGTCTGTGTCCAGGATGTCACTGAGTAGCTAGAGAGGGCTGTAAGGTTAGGGAGATCCATATTAGTATCATTAAAAAACTTACGTTGCAGGAGATTTCAGGGATCTCCAAGAGGAAAGAACAACAGAGAAAAGTGGTCACCTTTGCATTACTCCAGATAACGTGCAATTAACTGTAGAAGTAGTTATGGAGAAACAATGTGTGGCAGGATTGATAATACAAAAAGGAGGCCAATAAATTCTTAAGATATTGAAGTGGTTCCAGGTCACATTAGACATCTACTGACTGAATAGGTTATACCTGAACAGAACTGGGAATAATATTCCAGCAAGGTACTTTAAACTGCTATTGCAGGGGGTTTAAATTAATTTGGCGGAATGTTGCTAACGAGGATGCAAGAAAGGGAAATAACAAAACAATTAACTTGAAAGCACAGGTGACATCAGCGAAGGAAACAAAAAACATTCAGTGGCATCAGTCATTTGAGAACAATGGCAAACAGTATTTCCTATGGGGCATATGGATGAACATGTTTAAGTGTGTATACTAGAGAGGATATTGTGCCACTGCTGGGAAACACGTGGGAACATGCTGTCATTTGGAACAACAGTGAGATGATTTAAAAATTGGCAACTGAAAATTCTTGGATAACATATGGCCAAGGTAGACTGGGAGTAGACAAATGAGACAAAATGACCATATTGATTAATGTGACAATGCTGGAAGAAAAGGATGATTCGACCATATAATCTATTTCCTTAAATTGAGGAAACACTAGATTTGCAAAACAAAACTCGGTATAAAACAAAATAAAGCAAACCAAAATTATAGACTAGGAATTGGTGAGAAAGGCATGCAGGAACGGTTTTGCAAAGAAGTTACCGAGAGACAACTATACCATAGATTAATGTAGTTATTCAAAGTAAATTAGTATAACAATAGCATGAATAAAGTAAAATAAATGAAGTAAAGCAAAGGAGTATTCAGAAGCATGTTCTGTATCATTCTGTTGCCAGTCAGGGTCTCGGATTGAGGTATTTCAGTGGGTCACAAGTAAGTAAATGGAGGTTGAATAAACATCATTAATGGAATAGTCATCGTTGTATCACGTGGTTTAGACATCTATGGAAAAGGAAAAGGGAAAATCCAAATGGAAACTCCTTTTTGATGGAAGGAAAATTGTAAGGATACAAAGCAAACAGAATGGTGAGAGTTGGATGAACACAGCAGGCCAAGCAGCATCATAGCAGCAGGAAAGCTGATGTTTCGGGCCTAGACCCTTCTGGTGTTCCCATGTGTCTGCTTCCCTTACCCTTCTAGCTGGAAGTGGTCGTGGGTTTGCAAGGTGCTTTCTAAAGATTCTTTGTTAATTTATGCAATTCATCTTTGTAGATAGTATGCACTGTTACTACTGACCATCAGTGTTGGAGAGAATGATTGCTTGTGGATGTGGTGCCAATCAATTGAACAACTTTGTCATGGATGGTTTCTGGCTTCAGTGTTGTTGGAAATGCACTAATCCAAGCAATGGGAGTATTTCATACACTCCTGAATTGTGACTTGTAGATGGTGGACAAGGTTTGGTGAATCAGCAGGTGAGTTATTTGCAGCAGTATTCCTAGCCTCCGAGCTGCTCTTGTAACCATTGTGTTTGTGGTGAATCCAGCTGAAGTTCTATGAACCCTGAGGATATTGATAGTGAGGGATTCAGTGACTGTTACACCAGTGAATGTCAAGCATCAGAGGTTAGATGGTCTTTTATTGAAGATGGTCATTGCCCAGCATTTGTGTGTTGCAAATATTACATGCCACTGTTCTCTATGATAGCTTATGTTAGGTTCATATAGTTTGAAGTGTGCAAGCAATGTTAGAAAAGCTAATATAAAATATTTCAACATAGATAGTACTTAAATTATACAGAATATATTTAAAATCTATGCTCACAATAAACAGGGGGAAGTAGTGAAAAATCCTTATATACGCAGTCAATATTAGACCGTCAACAATGATTAATTCTGAAGGATAATACAATTACAAGCTTAAGCTCAAATTATACAAATTTAACGCCATGCAAAGACTACATTTATCAAAATGTAACTGCTGCTCCTCTAAAACATTAATTGAAAAGTGAGCTCATGAAGAACTCAACTGCTTTATTTTCTTATTCCTCTTTTCCTACAATAAGTTCCTTGTAACCTTGCTTTGTATATAACACCAACATTTTTCTCAAAATAACAATTTAACAATCTGAAAGGGTGCACGTTGAAATCAAAAGTTATGACAATGTAGCTTTCTGAAATTGAAATAATTTACACAGGTTTCATTTTCAGATTTGTTTGTTAGTTTATGACTTTCACATTGTACAAATTCCCTTTGGCAATTTCTTTGAGAAGTGAGGTTGAGCAAAGTTACGCGAGATTAAATTGCTAACATTGACAAAGGTTGCAATTAAACAGAAATAAAATTTTAATCAATGGATGCACTTTGATTGTGTGATTATGCCCAGACAAGTCTACTCATCAAACATCAGTCTCATGAATAGTCCTACAGAGGCAGACCTAAAATATTACAGAGTATGGTTATTTCCAAATGGTCAAACAAACAGAAACAATATATGTTCAATAGGACTTGATTCACTGGTATATAGATCATTAAAATGTTATAAATGTTATCAAAAACAATTGAGAAGACAAATAAAATTTTGCTTATATACAGGAACAATTTAAGCAATGGGAAACCTGTGGGAACATGCTATCATATGAACAACAGCAAGATGATTTAAAAGCAATGTATTTCTGGGCACTAGACTTCACGGCAAGACAGATTGGCATTGGAGTCGTGCAGAGCAGATTTTCCACAGAGAAACCTAACATAAAGAAATTAAGAGACAACAAGGTGTAGAGCTGGATGAACACAGCAGGCCAGGCAGCAACAGAGGAGCATCCTACATTTCTGAAGAAGGGCCCAGACCCAAAACGTCAGCTTTCCTGCTCCTCCAATGCTACCTGGCCTGCTGCGTTCATCCAGCTCTACACCTTGTTATCTCAGATTCTCCAGTGTCGGCAATTCCTACTTTCTCTCATAAAGAAATTAACTTATGAAGAATATTGCACACCCTCTGGCTATCATCTCTGGAACTAAAAGGCTAAGAATTGATTTGATGGACTTATGAACAATATGTGAAACTAATGGAGAGAAACAACTTTTATTGCTTAAACCGTAGAAGACGGACGCCAAGGTAGACCTTGTTGAAGTAGTAATAGCTGTACATTCCTCTTGGAAAAACCTCAAAAGTTTGGAACACTAAAGCAGTGGTGAAGCAACATGAGATCTTGCTTTGCAGCCCAGCGTGTAAGACTGCAGAAATAAATAATTAGGGGAGAATGGAAGAATGAGGTAAGATTTAATCGCCCAAGACCTGTTTCCTACATCAATTATACTCAAAGATGTTCCCCTCTGCCCTTGTCAGGCAAATAGTGGGCCAAACTATCATTATCAATCATGTGTGAGAGTGTATGCATGCCAGTGAAGAAAAGTTGTTTCTTAATATGAGCTCAGTTTGTTCTATTTTTGTGTGAAGACCATCCTCCTTGAAACCCTTTGTATCCTTTGCTATGTGAAATTCTTGCAGATATTTGTCCTTAAACATATTGCAGCAGCAGCCAGCATATAGATAACAACAAACTTACTTGATATCTTAGTTGCATATGTTGTTTGTTTTTAAAGTAGATAATTAAAATTGTAATCAATCAATCACTCGTTCTAATTGCCTATTTGTCTTTCTTTTTTTGTGCAATTAACTTTAATACATGATCTGCTGTGTCTAAGTATCAAGAATATTGGTGAAGGTTATCAATATTCTATTTGCAAGTCATCGATCCACAAAAATAATGATACAAACCTAAGTAATTTGGAAAGCTATAACACTAGGAAGATGCTAATTAATCATTATTGACATAATTCCCACATAGAAGCCATAGAAAGTTCACACCATTCTTCAGTTCCTCTCTGAATTTCCTTTGTGTCAGTCCATAGATACATGTGTTTTTGCACGAACTCAGGAGTTGCAACATGAAGCCAACTTCTTGGATAATATAAATAGGGTTGCTATAATATTTATTTTTGTAATAAATGTTTGTCACTGGCCAGTTTAATGAATGTATAACATAAGTCATCCACAATACTATAAAATTGCCAGAAAGAGAGAAAAGCAAAATCATGGATTTCCTCCAATTCTTCATTTGTGCATCATTCTGATGTTCACTGTTGCTTATGAGTCGCTTGCGGACTTTATTCACTATTATAATATATCTAACAGTCAGAGCATTAAACAGTACAATTAAAAGGATCGGTAACAGAGGGGTCATGATGCTGTCAATTCACTCGAATGCCTTCCACAAGGGGGAAATCAAATAATCTGCTTTTGGAACACGATGCCATGGTATGCTGTCAATTATGAATGCTAGTTCATTTATGTAGTAAAATGGAATGTTTCTCAAACAGCTCACCACAAACACAGTGACGCTAACTATCACTGCAGTTTTCTCTGTGTAGTATTTTGCTTGTAGCTTCTGAAAACAAATTGCTGCAAATTGATCAAAAGTGAAAGCAACAGTGAACCAGACAGAACAGTCTAAAGCAACAAAATATGCGGCTCCATTTGCTATACACACTGGCATCAGAAGCATGAAACTCAGAATGAAGTACATGTTATTAATTTTGTGCAGTACCACATGGATGATAACCACAGTTAATTCTGCTGTTGCCATAGCGGTCAGATAGTGTGTGATGCACTTAGCAAGACCACAGCTCCCCCATGCCAGGATCACAACCACCACCAAGTTAACTGTAAGAATCAGAAAAATAAAATGCATTTGTTTGGTTTGGTTTTATTTATTGAATGTTTATGAAGTGATAATTGAAACAAAAGTTTTCTTCTAAATAAAATTCAATTCATGCAAGATATATACAACTGTTTCTTTTCTGGTAGTGCAGTGATCCATGCTAATACCTTGAGACTTAGGATCAAAGTTGAATTTGATTAATAAATCTGGAATTATAAAGTTAGTCTCTTCAACGGTGACAAGAATTTACAAAGTCTCATTCTCGTCACTAATGCACACCAGGGAAGGAAATGTGCCATCTTTAATTTGTCTGCCCTACATGTGACTGCAAACCTCCATAAATGTGATTGAGACATCTTAGCATGCTACTCAGTACAATGGAAAATTAGGATTGTTAACAAGGACTGGCCTTTGCAAGATGGACACATTCTGGGAAAAGAAATGTACCTTGAATAGAACTATTTTTTGGAGTCCAGAAAAGCCCATGGGGAATATGCAGCTGGAATGTAGAAAATCATGTGCACTGAAAATAAAGATGGTAATATTGTAGAAGAAACAAAATGATAAAAATCATTTTTTTAAAAAAAGAAAGCGCATTGTAACATGATTGGAAAATTTGTATTTTCAACAAAATAAGTTCCTTCATTCACTGACAGTGAGTCCAAAATGTGAACATTAGCAATGATCTTTTAGTTTCAAATTGTGGAGAGTGTTTGTTATGGGATTGAGTGTACTGTGTCCACAATGGTGGACAGTGCAGGATTGAGTGCACAGCCTCCCTAGACTTTTAGTTTTATACAACGATGAAGTTCCAGTGTTATAGTACAGGAGGAAGTATTTTGCCTCGCCCACCTGTGCCAACTTTTCGTGAAAACAGCTGAGCTAGTAACTCTGAGCTTATTTTGTTTCCCTTCAGTTAAAAGTCTCATTCCATCCTGAAAGCCAAGGTTGAACTTGTCTACACAATTGTATCACAAATCCTACCAAATCACTGTGCATTTCACCCTCATGTCACATTTGATACATCTGGCAAGCATTTCAAGCATTTTCCTTCAGTGGCCCACTGCTTGGTGAATGTTCTGCTTGTAGGAAATGTTTCATTCTGTCACTACTATTCGCACACCTCAGTATTTCTAACACTTCTAATCAATTTTTCCCTCAACTCTGTGTTCTCTATCAAGGTAATCCATGTATTGATCCAAGTAATATATCATAAACAAAACACCATTCTTGCAAATATTCCATAAATGATCACATTCTACTTAAAGTAGCACCTTGGAGCTCAGAACCAGATCTCCAGTTGATGCTGCAACTTCTTGTCTGTTTTTAGTCTGTCTCTATTCATAAAGCTGAGCATGATTATCACATTATTTTCTAAACCCATTCTAGCATCTTCACCAATTTCTGAACATTTAGCACAAAGTGTCTTTTCATGATGTCACATTGTGGCATCCCCAGGCTGAAAGATAGCTGTGTCCTTGAATTTTTATTTTGTGTCAGCGTCTTTCAGTGTTATTTTTGTTTCACAGTCTTCAAATTTGCTGTTCAACAAAACTATTCTGCAGTACATTATCAAACATCTTTTAGAAATGTTGTTAGGGCAAATGTGGAAAGGTTGTTCCCACTTATATAATAATCTATAAGTTGAATTAATTTCTGTAAAAATGTGAGATGACCCCAGTTTAAGCAGATATGTGGTGACGTTTTTTTTGTTTTGCAAGGTCATGAGTCTGGAATTTTCCACCTATAAAAATGGTGGAACTAGGTTCTTGAAAAACCTATAAGACCGTGCTAGACAAACACATATTCAGCAATGGTTGAAAGGTTGTAAGGGGTGTATCTGAAAGGGAATTCAGGGTTATATTCAAATCAGTAATTGTCTTATTGAAGGTTAGAAGATGCTCCATAGGCTGAGTGTCCTAATCTATTGTTTTCCAACTGATGGTGACATCTTAGGTGCAAGTACCTAGGTACATACAGCAGAGGAATAGAAGTAGTTGCTTAATTAGAGAGTTGAAAATAAGTTAAAGATAGAAAAATATGAAGAGGTCAATCATCTGATTGTTGGCTTTTCCCTTTCTTAATTACAGCCAAGTACTGGAAATTATCAAATGTTGCCAGACTCACCAAGTTCATAGTTCAGATTCATAGGACATGAAGTATTTCACTTACATTTTCAAGATTATATTTTCAGTTGCATTAGCAGTAAGTATCATTTAAAAATTTCAAGTCTACCTACAGCACCATTCGGTTGAATAAACATCAGCAAATGATGATCAGTGCCTCCATTCTTTCCAACATTTTTTCTTCTCAGTATTCTCAGAAGAAATGGATCGGGTCCTCATGATTTAGTTACTTCAGCAATGTTAATTTAAGCCAGACTTTCTATGACCGTCTCTTTGAGTTGTTTTCCATGCACTGTCCCGGCAACCTCCATTGTATCAAGGCTCCAAAACAGTATTTTTGCTTGGTAAGGGTCTATTTAATATCCCAGTCTTTCAGATAAGAAAGGCAGCACAGTCGTCAGTGGTGACTTTAATCTGCATGTAGATTCAGGCGGTCAGATTGGCAGAGGAAACCAGGAGGAAGAATTCATGAATGTATTTGGGGCATTTTCCTGGAGCAATATATTCTTGATCCAAGGGATCGGGATGTTTTGGATCTAGTTCTGTGCAATGGGGTAGAATCAATAAATGACTTCAGAACATAAGAAACGTTCTCCACTAAAATCGTGACTGCAACGTGGCAATATTTCACCCTCAGTTTGAATGGGAAAAACTTAGTGCAGAAACAATTATGCTAAATTTATATAAAGGTGATTTCAATGAACGAGGGTGGAGGTGGTGGGTGTGGACTGGGAAAGAGATTTATCAGCAAAACTGATTCAGGAAAAAGGTAACAGCAAACCTGATTGAGGGAAGAACAAAATAATAGATGTTTCAGAGACCAGGTTATAACTCACAGAAAAGACATATTCCAGTGAACATGAATGATTCTCGGAAGGGGTAGGCCAACCCTGGTTAACCTGAGATGTTAAGCATAATATCAGGTTGACCAAAAGAAAAAGAAGCATACAATGTTACAAAGATAGCAGGAAATGAGCAGACTGAGAAAGTTCTAAAAACCAACAAGAACAGCCAAAAATATAAAGAATGGTAAATACTCTTTGAGGGTAAACATACCAGTAATACCAAGACAGGCAGCAAGAGATTCTTTAAGTATAAATAGAAAAGAGGAGAGAGTCAAAGTGAACAGAGACTCGTTAGATAGCGAGGCTGAGAAGAATGCAACTGGAAACTAGCAATTGGAAGAGGAGTTGAATAAGTACTTGGTATCAGTTGTCACCGTATAAGTAACTACAAGTATTCCAAAATTACTAAATATCCAAAAGCAAATGGAGAATGGACAATTAATACAACAATAACAAGAAAAAGTAGCAGAGAAACTAATGGGGAGAAAGGCCAATGAGGACATGGACATCAGGAGATGCATCCTTGGATATTGAAGAAAGGAGCTACATAAATGGTAGATGCCCTGTTAATAATCGACCAGGAATTTTTAGATTCTGGACAAGACTTGAATGAATGGAAAATTTCCAATGTGCCACCTTCATTTAAAGAGAAAAGGTTCAAATCACCATAGCTCAGTTAGCTTAAGTTTTATCATCGAAAAAATGTCACTGTGTATACTGTTAGGTTATAGGCATTGGAAGAAAAATAGAGGACCTGAATATTATTTTAATGAAGAAAGACTGCAGATAACTATGTTAAAGAGACAGGTCTGAGTACTCGTCCATGAATCACAAAAGGACAGCATCTAAGTCCAGCAGGTAGTAGGAATAGTAAATGGAACGTTGGCTTTTTATT